GTACCATTTCGAAGATAGTTTATACTCCTATTATTGTCCTATTATTATTATTGCCAAGCCCGTAAGCGTAGCTGGTTATTCCCGAGGCGAGGAGGTAACGCTTGTCGTCGAAGGGTGACAGTCCAATTTTGTTCATGTTGATGTTGTATACCTTGTGGTCGTAACTCCGGATCTGCGTCATATTTGACACATGCAATTTTCCGTCAAAGAGACACAGCTTGTATTCGTCGTACCGAGTATGGTTCTTAATGGCTCTTTTCGTCTCGATATGGGTAGTGGTTTCAACCTCCTCCCCGTTTACTTCTTTCTTTGTTGTTATGTCGTAGACATATGCATACATCTTACTTTTTAATCCTATGAAGGCATGGACCGCGTTTCCAAATGTTTCGTCTTTCATCTTTCCCAAGACCTTCTTGTTGGCGATGCTGTATAGACGGTGTTCTTTGTCATATTCTGACGTATCGAAGAGGTGGTGGTCCTGTAACATGTCATCGTAGACGTCTTCTGTCCGTAAGACGTATGCCAGGCTGTCTGTATCCGTGAAAAGGAGTGTTGCCTTTTCTCCGTACTTTTCGTTGACGTAGTTGTAATGGAAGTCATACATCAAAGTTTTCGAGATGTCCAGTATGGCAAACCCTACGTAGAGGCATACGGGGATAACATGTTTTCAGTGACCTGCATTTTTTCTGGAGCCAATGGGTAGTCGTTGTGGAGATCGTGGAGTTCACTGGGATAATCAAGATCTACTTCTAGAATGTACCCCTCAGGCGAATCGTTAGAAATGCTCGTAATGTCAATGGTATCTCTTTTGGTCGTGAGTTGACATGGCCCACCCATACAGATTATTTGCGTCTAAATATGTGATGTATTCATTATCTTTGCTCGGATCATACCCAGGGACATACTTGTTATTAGCTTCGGCGTGCCGATGGGTTATCATCGAAATACCACCGCGGAGGCCTTTTTCGATAAACAAATGGGTATCTATATCCGTGAGGAGTTCTAGCTGATCGCCCGTCATTTTAAGTGCCGCTTGCCAGGTCAGGCCTGGAGACGTATAAAAGTGGGCTGCATCAAGACCGTATGACTCGAGACACAGATTTCTGAAATTCTCAAAGACGTCGGCTAAGCTCAATGTATCTGACAGAACGCAGAGGTCAGAATATTCGCCGAGATTCTTAATCTGGAAACTGCTCCAGACAGACTGGGCGTGTTTGTATGCCTCTTGTGTGATGTCTTCTCCAGACAAACTACTATGGAACGCTTGTTTTGGTGGAAGGTCTGTTTCTTGGAACTTTTGAGGCCCGTCAAAATAATCGTAGGGGTAAACTTGTTTCTGTAACAACAGATCGAGATGGTCTTTCCCGAAAAGTTGGGCCATATGCTCGAACTTCTCCTCCCCTTCCTGTGCTAGATTCTTCATCAGTTTCTCCAGAGATGTTTGGAGAAATTGGAAGCTATCGATAAAATCCATGCATCCCAGCGAAAAGGAGATGTATTTCTCCATGTTGTTGGGTATACATTTGATCGCTTTGTTTTGGACTTTACCTATGGCCTGCATAACAAGGTGTGAATCGTAGCCCCATTAAATTGTGAAAGTCGACGGGAATGCGGCCCGTGTACTTGTAATTAATATTGCATTCATTGTGAGCTGCCCCCCTAAAATCCCCGGTCACGTGACAATGGTCCCTGACCCTCTCATCTTCCAGATCTTTCCTACAAATATGGCATTTGATCGCCTTTTTGAAGGACTGCCAGTCTTTGCCAGACATGACCAATGGTTGGACATGTTTGAATTTCTGTTTTATTTCTTCTTGTTCGTTGACCATACATTCGACAAACTTATTTGCAACGTCCGGTCCCCTGTACACGACAGGTGCTTTAGAGGTATCGTATGTGAGACCTACTACTTTGTACGCAAAGCTAGAGGGCACGTGTTGCGTCGTTTTCTCGGTGTATGACTCATTCGGGTCTTTTAAACAGCCGGAAATCGGTACTTGAAACGATTCGAAATCGGCATAAATGATATAATAGGGCACTTTCATTTGCTTCCTAAAGCCTTTGTAGAACAACCATTTGTCCTTCTCTTTCGGGAGTTCGACTCTCTGAGTACCGTGTTCGCGAAAATACGGCAGATGCTCTTGCAAAATTCGTTGTTTGGTAAAGCCTTGGACGCAATAGATGCAATGGAAATATCGGTTTCTACATATGTGTTGGTCGCTCAACAGACGATCCACGTTTTTGATCCAGCAGTAGTGTGACTTTGTACGGTCGGATATCATGAGCAAGTTGACGTGTCTATCAAACTGTTGTTCAGTGACGTGCATGGGAAACAGCCCCCCTTTTTCATACCCCAGGACATTGACGGATATGTTGTTTTGGTTCCCAAACTTAGGAATGTCGACCATGGACACCGGAAATGAGATTCCTTTGAAATCCAGTTTGGTCTTGTGATTTTCGTATTTACTAACACGCTGTGGGTCCTTTTTGACCCGATGTAATGCAGCCAGTACCGACCACATAAAACTTTTTTTGTCCTTATTTTGGATATTGACGTAAGCTTGTTTAGTTCTCAACTTCATCGGAAGAGGGCTGTAGCTAGAGGCCTTCATGGGTTTGTAACGGGCCATGTGTATTTGAATTTTAAGGACCTTGTCAAGAGTCCAATTACTACCCTGTCTCTGATATTCTATAAACGATGAATACATTTTTTTTGATGGATTATTTTATGCCGTTGTCCAGATCTTCGGGTTTGAGACTAGTCTGGCATTTCCCCCTAAAGTGCTGTGTGACGCGCTCCACGCGATCTTCCGTTTTGGTTTCGAAAACTGGACCTGAATCGAAAGATACCATTTGATACCCCCTTTTACGAGCGCCTTGTCTAATTTATTTTTGATGTCGTCATATTTATGTTTTAGAAGGGACATTGGGTCAAATTTAACAACTCCCTATACAGGCATGCTAACGACCCTGAAGGAACCACCGAGTGCCTCAGAACAGTCGTCTCCAGATTCGCCGGTATCTGTTGCCTTTGGTTCACTTTCAGTTGTCTCCCCTTGGTCTACTACGGACGCATCCGCTGGTAGTTCCCCATTTGCCTCTCCTTGGTCGCCTTTGAGGACATCCGTTTGTCGTCCCTCCATCGGCTGTGGGATATCTTCTCCAATGCTCCCCATTTAATTGACTCCACCACCACCCGTCTGGCTCACGTTATGTGTCTTAACGTGCTCTCGATACTTGTCGGCTCGCCAAAACGATTTCCCACAATAGGTATGCGTGGGCGGCCCGTGAGATTTGCTGCGTCTTGTGAGTCTATCTTTTCTTGTGAACTCTTTGTGGCATATATCGCATTTCCGTCTTCTGTCTCCATGTTCGGCAACATGTCTCTGTAGAGTGTTCTGGTGGTCGAATACTCTATCACAGGTAGGACAAGACCATTTTCCCTTCTTTGCCAACTGTCCTAGTTCCGTAGGCTTCCTCTTTTTATTCTCCATCCTGTAAACAAAATATTATATAAAGATATGTACAATTAGGAGATAATCATTTAAAATATTAGCCAATCAAATGGTGGTATTTGTTGGTTTTCGTATGTTATTAAATTATAAAAGTGAGTCACAACATATATTACAATATCCAAATATAAATACTAAATGTATAAAATATGACACATATACGATTCCACATACATATATATTAGTGTATAACGCATGCACTGTATCTACATATCTTAAATCAAGTATTATATTACGAAATTGTCCATCACTATTATGGCATTATATAGTTAATATGATAATAGCTGTAAACACGTCAGGGAACATAAAGGTATTGTACACTGAAACTGTTAAATCGGATTGCAGTATACAAATAGTAAATAATATGTAATATCTGCTGAACGTCACATTTAATTTAGTTTTGCCAAGTTTCTAATGTTGAAATTCAATTATATATCAGTATGATTTTGCATCTAATATTCTATAATCTTGGGTAGTATCCACAGATGATTACAGAAAATATTCATCAATTAAATTGCATTATTTCTTGTTTTCCTAACACAAATACCAAGGTTTGTTTTCACATTTTATTATGGGAACTAGTAATACCTGGTAAATGTCGCGAGCTTCTATAATAATTGCTATCTATAGACAAATAATCTGATTAAGAAACCGTGAGGTTTCAGTGCGGTTGCACGGCCATTCAACATTCCTTGCACCAGAAACGGAGATCCACCCAATTAAGGGCCCGTACGAATTGAGTCGGAAAGATGTTCCTGACAATAACAGGGACATGGTACTTTGTAACGCCCTCTTTCCGTTGTAGACTTGTACCACCGCCCTATGCCAGTACACACATAATTCGTACGTAGAACCACATCAGATCAGTATGCACACAGATAAATAATCTACACTAGTAATCCAACACATGCTGTCATATGTATATGGAACTTTTAACAACTGTATATGAGAATATGACGATTGAACCATTATGTATTTATTATTGGAATTATGTAATTCTTATTACATCATTCTCTTATTTGTTGACTAAGCAGACTTGTCACGTGACCTTATGTTAGTAATCATGTCAGACTAACTAACTAATTTCCCATTACTTACCTTTATAATATAGTGATCTTTAATTTTTCTTGCACTGTTTGACGTGTGACCGCTCTGAATACCTTCGTCAAACTGATGCAATTTTGTATTTGTTTTACCCTTTTTATAGGCTGTTGACGACCTAATTAAATTCGCGTAATTTGATTGGATAATGATGATTGAGTGATACTAATTCTTAAAAACGTCTGCAGTCTTGTATTGACCACCCGAATAACCAGGCGCGTTTTGTGTTCGCTCCGCGCGTCGAACTTGACTTGGATGTCAATGGTCTAACGCCTAACCATTCGAGCTACGCGGGCCTCTAGAGATAACAGCTGTACAATTGAATATGTACGGTGTCTTATCGGTTCAGTAAACACGCTAAAAATGCACACTCAGAGTGGCCGCATATACGTAAACAACCGCTTCAGTAAACAAGCTAAAAATACATACTCGGAGAGACCATGGTTGTGACCATTTGTAGCCGATTTAATCGTCATTTTACATCAATTTATTACAATAATGGCATGGATTTTATTTAAGGATGTAACACAAAAAGGTATAGTACTATCGTATGTTTATCTGTATACCAAATACAGATTGGTAGCATTGATACACAGTACATTCATACATGTGTATACATGTCTGACCTAATTTTACGTCTAGTCATGGTTGTAAATAGACTCGTCTTCTCGTTTTTAGCTAAGGCGTTAGCCGCAAGCAATTGGTATTACTTCAGTAATGAGCTCTAGATATTCATAAATGTCATCTCCACCTATGCCCCCTCTAGTGATAGCAGATGGTACTAAATTGAATCATATGCCGGACCTACTGTCTTTATTATGCACTACTTTGGACTCAAATTCACTTGAATGGATTGTAAATATAATTCATTTCCTTGGTAGAACATGTGATCTTATTACAACGTCGTATTCTTCTTGAAAATGCACCCTGTTTATTTCAATCGGGAAGTGCAAGTAGACTAGGTCATGCATGCTTCACGCAACTTCCTGTAAAATAATTCAGTTAATGAGCTCATACATTCATAAACGAGACCTACGTCATTTACCAGTAATACTAAGCAAACAGCAAATAAAATCCATTACCACGGACTCAAGTTCACTCTAAAGTAATTAGATCTAATCGTATTCTTAGTTAGAACTGAGTATCCTTCTACAACTTCGTATTCTTAAGAAAAATACACTGTATATTTACTCTTGGAACTGTCGCTAGATTCAGCGGTTACACGGAAATACTGTCCTCTGATTGGCTAAAATGTGTGCATGACTCTTGCATTTACGTCCCGGCCTTCATTCATATATTGAGTGGTCAGAGCTATGAAGCGGTTCTGTTCCAACTAACTGAGCAAAGTCAAAAGTGCTAATCTGTAATAATATATAAGATTCACTCCTTATATGAGTATAATGTTATCAAAATATTACATATTCGCTGAAATAACAAATCCTTACTAAAAACTCTTAAAATAGAAACGACCGCCATGTTAGATCACGCGTGATGTTATTTCAATTATCCGTTTCCTTATATGGCCAAATATAGTATTACTACTGATGCCGTCATGTTTACTACAATTTCCATATTTGGTCATGACACCCATATTTAGATGTACGACCTATATGCTAGGCCAGGGACGTAGATATACTGTCCCTGGCTAGGCCCTATCGGAAGACGGACGAAGTTTCCAACATGGCAGTCAAAGCAGATTTCGATTGCACTTGCTACGTAAACTTGATAATTTCACGACATATAAGCAGGGTATCACTTAAAATTATGTAGTCGATCAACAGAAAAAAATCATATTAAAACTTAATAGTGGATGCGGATCCTGTCAATTAATTCTAAAATCGCCCCGTGTGATTAATAATAATAATAATAATATACAGCATTTATATAGCGCCCTATATAATTTGTAAAATTACTCTAAGGCGCTTTACAACATATGGATAATAGTAATAGTTATAATTGTGAAAACGAACAGCAAAGGCTTGCAATCACTTTCATACATTTAACAAGCAATGTGCACATAATTGAACAAATAAAAGGGTGGTATTTACTTGACGTCTTTGCAAAGATTCTAAAATGCAGACGTGAAGAGGTGAGTTTGTATGTCCCTCTTGAACTTGGCCAGAGTATTCGACTTCCTAATAGCAGATGGTAAGCTATTCCACAACGTAGCCGAAACCCTCCCAAAGCATCTGTTTCCGTAGGTCACAGTACGAGATTTTGGGACACACAACAAAGATTCTGACTCCGACCGCAGTGATCTTGACGGCTGATACAGGGTAACAAGTTCCTGTAGGTACTGAGGAGCTGTTCCATTCAGTGCCTTGTATGTGTNTCCATAATCCAACCGAGAGGTAGCAAGTGAATGCACCAAAATCTTGCATGCATCTGCAATTAGAAACTGCCGAATACAGCCGATGTTCCTGATCTGGTAGTAATAGGATTTGGCAATCGCGTTCACTTGTTTCTCCATGTTCAGTGAACTGTCAAAGTATACCCCTAGGTTTTTAACAGCTGGAACAGTCTCAATAGTTCTGGCACCAACCTTGAACTGGAGAGCCACTGTTTGCTGACACTTTTTGGAAAAGACACCAGGCTTGCTCAACTAAAAGTAAATTTAGGCATGGGATCGCCCGGCCGTGTATTAATTTTAGTACTAGCCCCTGGCCTACTCTAGTTCCATATTTGTATTCTAATCTGAAACTTTTTTTTCCTCTGCAGTATTACCATTTTGTTCCATTTTCATCCTAAGATAAAGAGGTGTCACAAACGCCTGCTCACTAACAACTCGGCCAGAAACAAAAAATATGCGCCGATAAGCCTACATTTTGTATGTCTGTTGGTGTGATTTGTGTATTTCATTTATTCGTCAAGTATTACCATATAACAGGACGATCTTTTTCATTATACACATAACAACAACAAATGAATACTTGATGAAGATAAATCTATTTCGCCTTCGGAATGATTTCAGACATGTACTACGGGAAGAAGACGAGTGATCTCCCTTAAATTAAGCCTTAGACATGCGCACATTTTACCTTCATTTTGTGTAGGCCTAGATATCGTTCGCAACGCGGAAAAGACGAAAACGCAGGCGAATTTTGTCTTTATGTAAGACAGGTTGTTTAAGCAGCATTGACATTGAACAATATGCATACATTTCCGCAACGTTTACATACTACTGATTCATAAATAAGGATCTGGATCCCGATTTCGGTGATTTGTGGCCAAGCATGACGCATGTTGTCAGCGGCGATGACAAAAAGGAAGGTGCTTCAACGGTATGTATAGCAGTGATTATGCAAAAACAAACAAATGAATGGACTTTTTACACTAGTGAATAACAGCGTCACAAGGTGCTCCCGACAAAATTTTCGAACTAGGCTCAGTTGCGAACTGATTTCACATTGTGTGTGAGGATATTTGGCCTTACATTTCTTCTGATTCAGTTGAAAACAACCGTGTTATAAACATTGTATTATTAGATTCATTGCACTGTTGGCTGTCATTTCAGTTTCAATTGTTATACTACTTGATGTTTTGGAACTTAAAAAAAAAAGTAGAGTAGTTCTAAACATTATGAAATGACAGACACATTGAGGCCAAATATTAGACAAGCTTTTTTTTTTTTAATTTGAAAAATATCTTTACTGTGCTAATATAAAGCAGGAGTTCTGACTTTCACAGTGCATTATTTTACAAACTTAAGGGTATTGTAGGCACAAAAATCTAGGATAGGTCGGGTTAGCCACAGGTGCCAGACACACCAATAAGTAATGTGTGATAGTTTATACACATCATATTACTATAAGTGTGTCCAGTATCTGTGGGGTTAGCAGAAACACAGTATTTGTTTTAATTGGCCTTATTTAATGATCATTACTAGGTCACACAGGAATCATTTATAACTTGAGAGATAGAATAATTCTTCGCAGAAAAAATGGAAATATAATTATTTTTTTAACCTTTTCTGAGTTGTACAATTTTAAAGTATCTTCTGTCTGAAATCTGAACATAACTTGGTTAATGACAAAGGTGTAAAAGAATCTCATACTGGGGAAAAGTTTTTCTATATAGTCCCAAAAACTACAGTTAAAATCCTTAAGCAGTTACAAGATACAACAATATTTGTTTTATGTCAATTTTGCAATAAGCTACAAAGAGCTTGCATTTGAATAAAACATGAGTTTAATTATAGAAACCAAAACATTATAACATGAAAAAAATAAACATGCATTTTGCACATAATAGGCACATTGCACACGGTTAGCACATCAGCACTTGGTAATTTAAGCACATTAAGCACATTTGGGTACAGCACATAACAAACAAAACCATCACATGGAAAGCTTATTAGCTCATAGTAGGCACATTTGCACACTGTAAGCAAAACAAAGGATTGCAATGGACATCTCCATGTTTCCCATTTTTTTCTTCACCTGGAAACAACAAAGGGAGAATGATGTACTGCTTCATCTTTTGTATTGATGAAAACCGTGAATTTCTAGGTGCGTGTGTTTAAACTGTCCTCTTTTTTTTTTACTGTGGTTCAAGAAAATATTTCCTTCTTTTTCCACAAGGGTACTGTTTCAACTTTATCAGGCTTTTCAATTCGATGGCTAATTTATAAAAAGAGAGATAATTTTGTTTTGTTTTTAGTGGTACCTTTTTCATGTACACATGTTTTACTATCTAAGAAACCAGTTAATGTGTCTTAAGCCCCCATGAGATGTGGTGTTATAAGTTGACTTTTATGTACATTTTGTTTATATTTAGTTCTGCTAAGAGATTGACTTACATGTAATGAAATAATTGTGAACCATTTTAATGAATTCCTAAGCTGTAATGCCTTATTTCTCACTGTACAAGCTCATCATACTGCTATGCCTCCTATTTCTTTTGAATATTGTCTCTAAACATTATCATTGCTGGTGCAGAAATTATTTGGTGACTTTATGCTATTTTAGGGGAAAGCAATCAACATTACAACATACATGGATGGTTATTGATGGGAGGAAGGAGGATGAGAAATAGGAACTGAACCCCTTCTCTCATACCTTTGACGACTTCATGAGCTTTTTCAAATGGCTGCAAGAACTGTACCAACAGTGACATGACATTTGCAAGTCTATCAATTACCGTATATAGGAGGAACCTCTGACTAAATCATTTTCTCTCAGGCTCATGACAGCCGAGTCCACAGATCCTTCCAACAGCGAATAGTTCAAATACTTTCCTTGCAAAATGGAGAAGTCGGTGATCTTTACTTGGGAGTGGAACAGATTGAATCTGTGATTATTGATGCTGAAAGCCTGATGAATGTGTTTGAACAGCCCCTACTGACTAAAGGCACTAATGTTGGAATGGGTGCTGGGAGCAAATTTGAAAAACATTGAAAATATCTTTTTAAAACATAGAAATACTGGTCATGGGTTCCTACTAGTTTTTGTTCAGTGAATTAAAAGTCAACGCAAATGTTAAGCAGTAAAAGAAATGTAACATCCCTGGTATAAATTGTACTTTTATCAATGCTTATGCTCAATATCAATAAAATAAAATAAAGTTATAATGTGTAACTTGATATTTGTTAATTTTCACTCGATTTTACCGTGTCCAACTTTTGATATCAAATCGTGTGTGATATATGAGAGGAATCCCACACAAGATGTAATCTTGGTTATGTCAATGAAAGCAATTGTTTCTTAAGTTCTCAACTATATTTCTTGAAAGTTCATTTCTAAATTTCATACATCAATTGTTCAAGACAGTTTTAAGGTCAAGTTCATACATTAAAGGTGATGGCTACAGCTACACAACCTGTGCATGTGACAGGGTAATTGTCCGTGCTTTCCTAACTAAGTATTCAAACAAAATGTTTAAAACTTGCTCCATCATTCTGAACATCAAATTATGCACTACAAACAAATACACATGCAACCTTAACTTTCCTTAAGTCTTGTCAACATTTGTTGCACAATGGTATCAAAACCAACAATAATAACAACTGTAATAACATAGTATGTGCTCTAGATGGTACATTTGCAGTACTCTTTTAAAATATATTTGAAATTGATATTTGCATCTTATTTCAAATGCTAGCCTATGACGACAACGATAAAGCTGAACATATGCTATACATTTCTTTTTGTGAAGAATTTATGCAATGGAAATAGAGGGAAAATAGTGTAACTCTATTATATTTTGTTTATCTTATTCAATATTGAAACATACAACAATGTATTATATTGTATTAGAGTGCTTTTTATCTTATTTGTTCCTAGGAACACTGATGCAAAATAATTACATTTTCTATAAGTAGAGACCTTTTCACTGCAGTGAATATGTGAAAGACTGTTTATAAAAGCTTTTCAAATATTTTGACAGACTTTTAAAGGTACATTGAATGGAAAGCAGTCATCCACTAGTCTGTCCACAATTTGGTTTCAGCAAGTTAATATCCGTAAATATAGTTCAGTTTTAATGAAACTTGGGTTTGTGAATAAACAATATACACAGACTGATACAAAATTGAAACTTGAACATAATTCACAAGTATTAAAAAGCATGCATACCCTGGTCAATGTCCACACTTTACAAGATAATTTGCTTGAATATATATTGATCAATATACAAACTTCGATGATAAGTTCAAAGTTGAGTGAAAGCCATGCATAATTAATTAGCATACTGTGCTCTGATTGGTCAATGGTTTTTGCCAATTAACTTTGTCAGATAAGGCCAGATTCTGATGAAACTTGGTTGATATCTTATTCAACAACAAAGGCAAAGTTCAAAGATGAACACAATCTGTGCATAATCTATTTAATGGTTTAAAATTGCCAATTTCAGTTTTTAACGTTTGAAATATGGACAGAGGGAAGCAACTCCTATGCAAATAAATTATCTAAAAGGTCTAAAATAATATATTCTAGAGAACACTTGGTACCCCTCTTCTGACAAGCATATAAAGATATACTGTACACATAAGAAGAATAACTTCACAGTTGTAAACTTTTACATAAAACTATGATTTATAACAAAATTAACAGTTAATCCTTCTGTACAATATGATGGGAACTTAATTCGTCTTTATTTTGTTCCCCTTTCCAAAAATAATATATTTATCTTAGTATGACTTTTGCCTTAGCTTTCAGTACTTTCAGTACTTTGATTTCTTTGCAAGAAGATCCCATAATTAATTCTATTAAACGTATTGTACATATATGTCAGTTATCGTTTGTTTGTTTGTTTTTACCATAGAGTTTTGTTGTATATACATCAAATTTTCACTTCGACATTGTGTTCCAGAATGTTCCATCAACCGGTTATTACAATGTACCAGTTGTGCTATTTATAGACATGACGATACGGAAATACCCAACACATCTGTACCCCACGCTAGGGGGGTATATCATAGGGGGGTTTGGGGGTACTATAGATTATATAGGCGGGTGGCTGCGCCAGAACCCTCATTTTCCCTACTACTCTCAGCTGTAAATGAGTACGTGGTTCGGCAGTGCTAGAATTGTTGAATGCTAGCTGTGAGCGCCGAAATGACAGCTCCGGATTTATGTAGGCTATCAAGGGAGTTGAGAAAGATATTGGCTGGTTGCAAATGCCCTATAACCACGGTTGCTAATTTGAGAACCGCTTTGAGACGACCGATGAACTAGGTTGTGATAAAGCGGTATATACATGCAAGAACCACAAATTATTATCATTATTATTTTTATCGTACGCCTTAAGTAAATGTATGACCGTTATACCAATGAATTGGTTTTACATATACATGTCACCCCATCCCCCTAATCGCTACCTATAAGCAATATCAGCTACATTGCTGATAATAAGAACTCGCACAAGACAAAATGAGTGGACGATCCCCATCCTTACATAAAACCTTATTAGTATATATGATTTCCAGAAATGCCCAGAAGTTCTAGAATGTTTCCAAAAAGGATTATGAAAACATTATCTAATGTTTTTGCTAATTTTACCAAAACTTGTTAATATATATATTTACAAGTAGCATCAATACATATTTATATAGAAATATTTGAAGATAAGACAATTTCTGTTAATGAGCGCAATATTTACTATACAGACCGAGGTTTAATATACTTAATTCTAACAAAGTGTATTCAATATGTATGTATAATCATTATGACTGAAATCGAACATTTTGTGTTCTGTTTTTTAAAAAAAGATAAGAAAATGGGAGATGACCTAAAAAGGAAGTTAACGACAGGGCTGACATCTAGTCCAAAATTCATTCCCCATCTGTATGTTTATGACGATGCCGGGTCGATAATTCAGTACAAATTCGTCACGGAATGTCCCGACTACTATTTGACCAGGAGTGAAAGGTCAATTCTGGAACATAGGATACAGGTAAGTAGTATAATAAGTACTTTTAATAATGCTAGGAAAAAGAAATACACATGATTCATTTTTAAAAATAAAAGGCGGAAACCTGAACTCTTCAAACTACTAACAGCATTGTATGCTGCCATAAGATTATCTTAGACACATTTACAAGTCAATATATAATTTGGGAAAACAAGTTTGAAATTAGGTCAAGTGACAACCTGATAATTTCTTCAATAAACATCAAAGGAATTCTGATAGGTAAATATGGCTGAATAAAAATCCGAACCCACAAAATTTAATAATAAGCAGGACAGGAAGAGTCTACCCCGAAACCTAATATCTGACGTACCTGATCAAATATGGTATAATAAATTTATCATCAGGATAGGAGAGTTTATTTCTGTTCAGGAGAGATAATGATTGAGAAACAAAAGTGGTTTCTTCAGAGTGTTGATTGATGCCAAGGTGATGACGTATTTGTTATACAGATGTTGTAACTGTTACATTTATGTATGTCGTAATTAGGGCTTGAAATTGGAGGGGACCTAATTCTAATTCACTCTATTAGTGGGAAGAGAGATAAACCTTGCTATCTGTGTTAACTCCGAGTGGCAGGAAATAGTCAGAGTTGATGCATGCGCCTCGGTATTCCATGATGTTCATCAATGAAAGTAAAAGAAGGTTAACGCTCTACTCCTATTTAAATGCATTACCAGGGTTTGACAATAGTTTATATATAATTATCAAGGTATCTGCCACAATTTTGCAGCATACGCATATTCCAAATATGTAATACAGCAAGATTTTAATGATACCTGATGCAGCAGTATCAGGCCTCGTGGTCGCCATCTTTCCAGTCGTGGTTGGGCAAGGGCAGGTTGTGTCGAGAACGGTTGATGTTGTAAATGTTATGTATGTATAGATATACACAGACTAATAACTAGTGCCGCAGAGTTCTGCTAAGACATTAACAATCATATTAATGATTGTGGGTAAATAAGTGTACAGCTCTTCAAGATGTCTCCCTTTGACTGTATTTTTAGTTAATCGAACCATACGTAATAGTATGTATTAATTTACAGGATCTTTCATACTTGATGCATTAGGTTATATTCAATATAAGGATAATATTAATATGTATTTAGGGTTGTGTTAGCCATCACTATGATAGGAATGCTTTGTTGCGCCTTGTCACATGTGGTTATACTTTGTCACATGTTGTCAACCGTGGTCATATTTTGTCATATGTTGTCACGCCTTGTCACATGCGTCATATTTTGTCACATGTCGTTAACCGTGGTCACATGTGTTTATATTTGGTCAACCGAGGTCATATTTTGTCACGGCTGGTTACCTTTTGTCACATGTGGTCATACTTGGTCACAGTTGGTCACATTTTGTTACATGTGGTCACCCATTGTCACACTTTGTTACATGTGTCGTCTAGTCACAACTCATCAGTTACATGTGTGGTTAGTCATTTATGTGATTATTCACTATTTTAAATTATGCTTTGTCATTTTTTGTCGTGTTTGTTACAATGATATGTTGAATTAATCGCAACACATTGTATGGTATTCCATGATGTTCCGAATAAATGAAAGTATGCTCTACTCCTTTTTACATGAAACCTGGCCACATTGTCTCCAGACATCGGATAATTCAGTTACGGGTGGTACAATGGCATGCAAAATTATCTTTAACAAAATATGGTTTACTAGACTTAGGGACTCTTCATTTGAAAAAAAGTTATATATATATAATATAGTCGTGCATTGTATTGTAAGAACGAATGTTGTAAGATAATTTGTAAATAACTATGGCAGTTTCGGAACTTGTTGGCGAAAAATGCATGACAGTTTTTACATTATACACAATAAATGTATTAAACATATTGCAGCGTTTGTCGACAACGATATATAAGTCTGTTTGTTTAGTATCTATGAAAACAAACTGATGAGGAAACACCATTTCAGCACCCCGATGAATCTATTGACAACACACAGACAGCTATATTTGTACTCAAAAGACAAGACTGACATTCTAGAGAAAACATAAGTTGTATACAAAATTCAACGCAAGAATGTCAACAATCAGATTATTGGGCAACTTTGCGAAAACTGCAAGCACACCTCAAAGAATACCAAAAGGATTTTAAAAAATATGAGAAACACCAATTTCAGCAGAAACACACAAAGCATGCGCCATCCATTACAATAAATTGACATTAGCAGACAAAGCACATACATACAATCATATTGTCGATTAAGGCAAAGGGAATAGAATAGAAATAGAAATCAGTAATTCAAAGCATGAACAGAGATGAGGGGGCACCAGCTGAGTTATCTGTATGATCCACTTCAAGTCTAAATGGGAGAGGGGCTAGATCTACACCCAACAAGTAACCTACACGATACAGTGTATATACATGGTATCGATATGCGAAGCGTCCCGTAGTCGAGCGACAAATACACTTCGTCACATCGTTATACAGATTAACAAAACAAATCAATCACACAGTCATAGCTTGATACAGGAACAAATAGATCAAGAATTTTTGTGACATATTTAACGCGCACATTATGTATGTACAAAATAATATTTTGATGCACCAATGTCTAAAACGATGAATCTAACTGAAGACATTGTTCATGATTAAATCTGGTTGAATCTTAAATTTAATAAATTATACGGAAAGTTCTATAACAAAAAAGGGCGTGTTATGTTTGTTACGGCAACTGAATCCACATTTACTTGTATTATTTTTTTATTTTATTATTTTGAAGGAAATTATTCCCTGTTTTCCTTACGATATGGCCTTGGTTGATATGGGGAGTGGAAACTGTTCTAAAACGAGACTTGTTATCGATGAACTGCTGCAAAGACAGAACAAGCTTACGTTTTATCCAGTGGACATTTCAGAGGGTAAGTTTAAAGACAAAATGATGATATCCTCGTTAGAAGTATCATACCTTATATTTCAATACGGATGTTTTAATTTCCCTCCATATTATATTTCAGAGTTTTTGATGAAAGCAGCAAATGCCTTATCAGAGGAATATGGTGACTCACTTGAAGTTAAACCTATTGCTGCAGAATATGGACAGGGAATAGAGCAGCTCAGGTAATTAATGACACAGACAATATTACGAATTTAGCATATGTACGGTTGACGACCAAATGTCATGATGTCAAGGCTCGATAAAACATGTCATTAAAACAAATTGATATTTTAAAATTACCTAACCATATGATTTATGTTTTATGGTTTATCAATCGCAGAGGACCTAAACAACATAAGGATTTTTTTTGTAATTCTCTTCCAAACACGTTTTATATATAAGTTACAAAAGAGAACACTTACCCATCCGTGCCTAGTTAATAGACATTATACAAAACAAATATAGACTTTTTAGATGTATAAATTGAGAATAAATCATCTTTGGTTAAAGGTTTCGGCATGCTAAAATTGCCATTTTTTGCCATGTCGGTCCGAATTTAGTTTTGAGTATTATACACATGTGACATTAAAACGTTCACCTCTTTTAAGTTCTGGATCGCTACTACTTATTTGCAGTTGACACTAGTCATATCCCCTCCGGTACAGCAGTTGACTTGACCGAATCCCTATAGTTCGAAACAACTCCAGTACTTGTTTAGGGGTGAGATGTATAGATACTGCCATATCAAATCCCTGTTGCTATTGTTTGAAAAAACAGTCAGTAGTGCTTCAGTCGTTCCTTGGTAATGAGTGGCCAATGCTTGTAATATTCTACCTGATGCTGTAATGGAATTATTTTGTTTGATATATTGCGAAGAAAAGTTTACGTAACCAGACACAGTAAATTTCAAAAACGATAGCAAAGATTTACCGTACGCTCTATCTGGATTTGCCGTTTTGAATGAAATCACATGTTTATATCTGTTGTATATTGGCTTGCATATTCAATATTAAAACTCTTAATGATGAACGATAGAGCCCCCCCCCCCCCATCACATCACATCAAATTCTACAGGAACATAATCTGCATACTGGTATGACTTAGTCATGATGTCAATTATAAATATAGAGTTTGTTATATAATTGATATGTTACAGACGAGTGAAAGGTGCTAAGATAATTATGTGGTTGAGCAGCATTATCAATCTACCTTACGATGAACAAGTGAACACTCTCAGGAGGATATCTACAATAATGACAGGTGCGTTTTTATATTCAAATGAAAAACAGTTATGTCGACCAAGCAGCACTTGAGTTTATATCTCTGATGATGTATTTGTGAACTGCATGTGTTGATAAAATTATCAATCCCTATTACGTAAACCTTCAAGCTTTCCTACGTTTTCGTGCACCAATAATATCTTCCTTATTTGTTGGAAAGGGATGTTACTTCAGCTTTTGTTAACTATAATGCCATTGACAATTTGAGGGGCTGTTCACATCATTGACGCAATTTGTGCTAATTATTTCGTTGAATCGATTTTTTTTCAAAGAAAAAACGTAGCAGCATAAGGTGAACACACTATGAAGGTATTTGAGAGCTCGCGGCTGAACATATGTAGCCCCTTTGACCTTGAATATCCTTAAACTGATTCATTTGAACAACAACCTTCATCGCAGACGGTTACTGGCCAAATAACATAACCATAGGCCTTTTAGTCATTCAGAAGAAATTATTTGACAGTCATTCTTTGGACAAACGCAATAGGCCTTTATCCCGGCATACTTTATGCCAAATATCATCTCCCTAGGCTTTTTGATTATTCGTTGGTTATTCAGAAGAATTGTTTTTATCCCAGCATGCTATTTGCTAAACATCATCCGCTAAGACATTTTGGTCATTTAGAATAAGTCGTTTAAATTTTGTTTTTCAATACATTTGACCCATGTGACCTTGAATTTGGGTGAAGAACATTCACTTAAATAAACGACAACAGAGTTCTTAAATAGGATCCATCAGTTTGGAATAATGTTATGTCAAAGTTTTACTTTCTACACAAACAATGTACGTATTAAGCGTGCCGCAACGTTTCAAGACCGACTGGTCCCTTTGTTAAGTTATGACTGAGTGAGCTATTTTTATTTTTTACTTTTACAACGGTGTACTGACATATGTCTATTGGTTTTGCATTCGTTGTTTTTGTGAACTTTAATTTTCACTTCACAAAAACTATGTATTCAGGAAATGTCGAGGTACTCTTAAAAGCAAATATTTTTCAGACAAATGTAGGCTCATATTCAGTGCTGACGTCACACAGGATAGATCAGCTATCATGAAGGCCTACAATGATGATGCAGGTAAGTATCTCTTATACTATCTCAATGATAATTCTGAATTGCAGTCTCTGAGATTTAAGGTAAATATTGGCACACAGCATATACGATTTATATGCAACATGTGGTTTGAATGTGGATTAAATATAAAAAAAAGATTGGTTTTTATATTCTAACGCGATGGTACTCGAAATTTTACAGTTTTCATATACTTGATGCTGCGTTTTCATTTTTCCAATAAAAATAAATAGTATATATTATAAAAAAGAAAATATGTAAGTTTAAGCAATTAGAACAAAATTTACCTGCCTACTTCTTACATTTTGCCAATAAAATCAACTAAATATTTAAAAGTGAAATAAAAACAATTCCCCGGATAAGTACGATGCTAAAAAATGGAAAAATATTTGTTAAAATGATTGCTTTAATGAATGTATCACTCTTATTTTATTTGAAAATGGTCACAAATTTCTTAAAAGTACGAAAAATATTTAAAATATTTTCAGTGATATACATTATAACCTGCGGTGTCATCTCGATTTCATCCACGTACTCGCGATAAAAAAACTTATTCTCCCAACAAACGTTGAAAACACAGGGTGATTATATAAACATGTAATCATAAACAGTGTGTATTTTTTGGATCCTAACATATGAAAGGAGTTATCACATAACACCTCTCTGGAGTGCTGACGCTTTTAGGTAATAATAAATTCTGGCGTTTTGTCGCCTTTTTTGCCTGTTAGATGATGTAACATTGGTTTTTGTATGGGCGGTTACGTATGTATGCACCAAATCCCTTTCGTGATGTTAAGTTTGTTTACTGTTTATGTTTTGTTTGTTTGTTTTGGAGGGTTCTCTAAATGTGTTTATGGTATTGTTATTTTAAATATATTATTCATTAATTACTTTTACTGCTTTATTTCCTTTCGACTAAGATGGTAATTTATTGGCTATGATATATTTCCCCTTTGCCAATTGCTAATTGGTAGGCTAGACAATACGTGGTGAGTACAACAGTGGTAACGATGTTGGCTTCATTATGGAAAAATGACGTTACATGTACATTGTACAATCAGTATGTCTGCTAACATTGTCGGATGTTTTCCGGTTTTTCAGGATACATTAAGACTTTATTATACTGCTACCATTTGTTGAGAGAAATGTTGATGTTATAAAGGAGTTTGGCTCAAAGTTTAAGGAAATGTATAAACGAATTCTTAAGAAAACAAGAAAGAGTGACATTAAATATGTTTGAAGTAAGTGAGGTGGCAAATGAAACGAAGGGTATCATATGAAACTTTTATTGTACTTCAGTTCTTTATTAACGTATTAGGGCTAATACCCCTATGTCCAATTTATATGATAATGTGTGAAGTTTGTCTGTTGACGAAATCAACATTAGTTGATAAATGATCTGTAAATACATGCTGTAAGGTATCTATACATTTTCAGGGATGTTGCAAGCGTTGAATACAAATGCAATTGAGAGGTTGAATAAAGAGGAAGGAAGTGAGATCGACATTGCAAGGTTTACGTATGGGGTAGATTTCATATCTGACAACAATCCCCAGTACATGAGTTACACCAGGGTCTTCATGAAGGCCAACGAATCCATCCAGTATCCAATACGTAAGTTGTGATTCGTATATTTATTCTAATTGAGGTACCTTACAAGGACCAAAACTGTGCCATCCGTTATCTAATGCATGAGTTTTACGATGTATACTGTGTAAGAATAACAAGGCCCATAGTAAGGTATATGTGCCTGAATGAAATTGAACCTTTTCTTACAAACCAAAAAACTTTAGAAATGTTATCAAGGAAAAAACTCACATGCTAAATTGCCAGTAAATACATTATACATAATGAGTTTCATAATATTAATATTACATGGACATTTAAAGGTCATTGAAATGCATGAAAATAACAATTTATTACTCTTATTTTCACAGCTGGACTTGGCATTGACCTGCAGATGGACAAGGAGGAACGACTTTATTTGCACGAAGGCGAAGGGTACAGCTGTAAATACACACTGGAACAGCTACATAACATTGTCAAGAAAGCTGGACTCCGCCTGGTGAGCACCTGTATGGATGAAAACCAGCACGGTGTTTTATATCAGTGTGCAACCGTATGAAGGACTCTTACAAACATCAACTGAAACATGATAGGTGGTTTACAGAGTTATACTATTTAATCAACGTGTATGAAATATCTCAGATTAGCGCGATTGTGAGTTCGATACCTTCTGGTTTGAAAACAGACATCATTACTGACGAGATGAATCATGCTTTCTGTTTGTATTTAATAAAGTTTATCTCCTTGATTCTTGTTGATATCGTTTTGTTCATCATGAGGTGTGTTTTTTGTATTGATAAAGAGTGTGGAAAATGGTGTATTTACATGTATAAGTATATCATACTATATGTATAATCTTGACATCAATACCACCATATACACTTTTCTACGTATTTTTGCGACGCTCTGGTTATTAATAGATCAGGAGCTAAAAAATCACCGTTTTAAACATCTCTGTGGGAATAAAAAGATATGTTTATCGTTTCTTATTTACGTGAACTTTGCAAACATATTCGTTATGGTTTGAAATGTTTTTTCCTTTGACGAATCAGGTTTCGCAATAAAAATATTTTCGGTTTGAAAATTGCGGGCTTCAAAATTTGCCACATTCTGGTTGGTTGAAAAAGACCGGAACAGGAATCTCATCGGGAAGCCTGCATGATCAATATAAGAGTTTGGAGTGAATTTTACCAGTTTTGACCTCATCACAGACAAGTTTCATGTTTGAACCAAAGGTCTACCAATTTAAATATGTGTTTTTCACTCTTTCAACAAAAAAACAACCGTCGGCTTCACGAAAGATAGACCTGTGCAAGTCTACTGTAGTCACTTCAGATTCTTTGTTTATCAACGACAATGCTGATGAGCCGCCTGAGATACATGTATGTACGCGCATGTGTGGGTTAAAGGTAAGTACATGTATGCGTAGCCTACTTTGTCAGTTCGTGTCTGTGTCACAACATGACTCCCCCGTCCCCCTCCCTACCCTGGTCCCGTTTGCTTCAAGTCAGTCAATGTCTGATGCTATACTGATATGGGTCACAGAACATATAATGCTGTGACCCATATCAGCATAGCATATAGTGTATTTCAGAGGTTCAAGATGGGAAGTCGAGGGGGATTCGAGATTCATTTATATATAATAATAAGGCTGCAATAGCTGGTAGTTTGTAATGTGTCAAGGACAATACATTGCCATGCTTTTTAAATGTACAAAATGTATTTAGACGTGTTGAAAAAAGTTTCGTTTTACAAGTTATTTAATCAGTTTTGTCTCTTCTATTTAATTAAAAACAACGAAACTTACAAAAAATAACAAACATCAATCATTCCATTAAGTCTCCTTAATGCATATTACATATTTATGTGTGTGTATGTATGTTATGGACTATGGTCTGAGTGTACAAACATGTATATAATTTGCTAAGAAAGTATTTTATAAGTTTTCAAATGTCATCAAACAATGTTTCTTTTTCTTTCTTATAATTATAACTTGGTTGAATGTTCTAGCCTATATGTTTGTAAGTGTATATGAGTGTGTCTTGTTGAGCAATGTATTAAATTTGTGCTTTCCGTCCATCTATACCGGTTAGGAGAAGACTTATATAGGCTAAGCATTTTGTCTCATTCAAGTGTTACATTTTTTTTCCAATAAAATTTGTTGAAATAAATAAGTCCCCTTTACATGGACAATGTCTTTACCATTAACGTTATCATTTCTAGTATTTGTTCTACCCTTTAATTGTATCTGTATTTAATAAAGGCGTTAATTGCATTTATTTGTAGCAAATGATATATGGTTATAAATGATAAATGCATACTTGCCAACCTTTTGATTATTTTTGTATGGGGGAGAAGCCGTGTGCTCAAAATAAAATATTACAAAATATGAATAATTATAAAAGATGTATATCCCTAGGTGAAAAACAACAACTTTAGAGTGTCAAATTGCCAATTGTCTTCTTAGTTGTTCTTTCTGATGAAATCATTAGGTAACAGAATAAACATGGACAATTCTAGCATGGACTTAGATAGCAATCTAATTCTGTGGTCTGACCTATGAGTCGAACGGGGACGTAACTCACAAGATCTGGAAAATAAGCTACATGTAGATATGATTCGTCATCACACCAAGTAATTAGACAAGACCTAGGTCCATGACTTTGACAAAATTTGATATGTTTCATTTTTCGAAACACGTGAAATAATCAGTTCTTAAATATGAAAATGAAAAATCGATGAACTGATTACGTGTAACGTTTTAGTCAATTTTCAACCACGTGTATAATCTATTCAGATACGTGGTCACTCGCAAACTCTACTTACAGATCATTGATATATCTGGTCACACACTCTAATTATACTATAAACCACTGAGATACCTGGTCACTATCAGTCACTGGTAATAGTTCACTGAGTTACATGTACCTATAGTCACGAACAGTAACAGACGCACTACCTATGGACAACTGAGGTACCTGATCACAAAAAAATATAGTTCACTGAGATACCTTTACACAAAAAAAATACTATAGACCACTGATCGAGATCCCTGGTTACAAACTCTCACTATAGACGACTGAGATACCTGGTTACAAACCCTCACTATATACCACTGAGATCCCTGGTTACAAATACTTATCTTAGATCATTGAGATACCTGGTCACAAACACTTACATTAAAACTATTGATGCAACACTTCCTCAGAGATCAAGTCCAGTCAAGATGAATATTTAAAACAAAAAAACACACGTTTTTGAGGTGTTTTCATAATTGAGTTGTTAGTTTGTAAACAACTTCATGACGAGCACTGCTTTAAAATGTTATTTGCATTCATAGCTTTACGTATCAATATATACAGGTGTGAAAGTTAAGTGTATAATTTACAAAATCATATAATATGTAGTATGGCAGGTTTTGACTGTATTGTATTGGAGGTAATTTAAAAGCCTTGCAGCTGTCAACACGTCAGGTTTGTTTTCAGAAGCAGAAATCATTAATATTATCTTGGGCAAATCAAAATAATTTCATAACTGACGCACGCTTAAAAGCTTTTAACTTTTTGATGAATTGGTTTTGTGCATCCAATACAGTTAGTTATAGTCATGAATATGAATAACATATCTTCTGATGTCGATTACATTTTAGATTAAGTTTAGAGATACAGTTTGAAGATGCTTCACGATATGTAGATTTCTTTACACACGTGTATCACGCCAACAGTCGTAAAAGTTCAATTTATCATAACTCTGTCAATTTTCAAATATCTAGCTGAAGTTTGGTACATAGCCTGTATCATAGTCATATGGATAACACACATTGACTCAGTTTCAGGATACTTGTACTTTCGGTTAGTAATAAACCTATACACACTAGTAAATAGCAACAACATTTTTTATCCGGTGTTTATACATTCTAAAACCTATACCTTCAATTTGTATAATGTTTACCATTTTGATAACTAAATACTGGTTTATGAGATATCTAAAATTGAAACATTTTGTATGAAGGTTCTTATAATTATAGGAATTTAAGGGGTTTCCCCTGTCAACTACAAGTAAATGTAGAGATTCATCTGGGGAGAATTACCTGTGATAACTTGTTAGGAATAACCTGAATGTACCAGTATATGTGTGCAATCTTATTTTTGACAATTATATAATATAATAATGGAAAATTAAGGATCCTTTTATTATACCGGTGTATATCTTGGAATAAAAAAAGTCATAATTAATTTTTACACATTGCAAATTGTAGTTCTGAGCCTGGCATAAACTTGGTTAATACCGGTATATTAATGGAAAATGTGATAAGAAAAGCAGAGGGAGAATGTAAATAGAAATGCAAAGGTTAAAACATGTTAAAAATGAAAATAAATCTTGAAAGAAAAGGTTAGTTGTGCTATATATATTTCTATAGTGTAGTGGTCATCACACTCGCCACTGTTTGGTGGGAGACCCAGGTTCAAATTCTAGTGGTAATAATAGTACAACTTGAAATTATGTAAATACTGCAAACATATATAAACATAAACTACTATTTATATATAACTCATTTCCCATTACTTGGTACATTTCATATGAATATATAAATACTTGTTAATTTGTTCTTTACTGCATACAACAACAGGTCATTCGAACATCTTGGTAGGCAGTGAATATTACATTTATGTTTTGTGAACTTAAGCTAGAAAATGGATATTTTTTAGTTTTCAATGTCTTGGTTCCAGAGAAAAATAGGGTTGGTCAGTAAGCAGGCAATTTTTAGCTTACCTGGCCCGAAGAGCCAAGTGAGCTTATGGCATGGTGCAGCGTCCGTCGTCCGGCGTCAATATTTTACTTTAAAAACTTCTTCTTACTAACCGCAAGTCCTAGGTTGATGATATTTGGCCAGAAGCAAACTAGGATGAAGGGCTACACAGTTTGTTCAAATAAATGTCCTTCACCTATTTTCAAGGTCACAGGGATCAAATATGTTAAAAACTTTAACACCTTCTTCTGAATAACAAAAATGCTCAGGGTGATGATATTTGGCCAGTAGCATGCTGGGATAAAGGGCTATCCAGTTTGTTCAAATGAATGACCTTCATCCATTTTCAAAGTCACAGGGGTCAATTGTCTTAAAAAAAATCTTTATTAAACTTCTTCTGAATAACTAAGAGGCCTAGGGTTATGATATTTGGGTAGTAACACGCTGGAATGAAGGGCTACCAAAATTGTTTAAATGAATGACCTTAACTTATATTCAAGGTCACATGGGTCAAATATGTTTGAAACCTTTATACAAATTCTTCTTAATTACCAAGAGGCCTAGGGTTCTGATATTTGGCAAGTAGCATGCTAGGATGAAGGGCTACCAAGTTTGTTCAAATGAATGACTTTGAAGTATATCCAAGGTCACAGGGGTCAAATATGTTAAAAAAATCTTTAAACGACTTCTCAATTAGCAAAATGTCAAGGTAGATGGTATTTAGCCATTAACAGGCTTGGATGTTAAAATGAATGACCTTCGCCCATATTCAAGGTCACAGTGGTCAATATATGTTTAAATCGTTAAATGACTTGTTCTGTATAACCAAATGGTCCAGGGTAATGATATTTTGCCAAAATATCATTAGTGAAACCCTTTACGACATGAATAATTCACGTTCAACCTACGCATCTACAAATGTTAGCTTTGTTTTGTGTTAGGCTCAGATTGAAAAGGTATTTTTACAACAGACATATGCAAACAAAAATTGTTCGAAA